ATAGCCAGGTGTTGTGGTAGGCACCTGTAGTCCCAGCCACTTGGGAGGCTGAGGCAAGAGAATTGCTTAAGCCCAAGAATTTGAGGTGGCTATAAGCTGTGACACCACAGCACTGTACCCAGGGTGACAGCTTGAGACTCTGTCTCAAAAAAAAAAAAGAAAGAAAGAAAGAAAGACAATACTCAGTGTGGGCTGACACCTCCTGTGACCTTAGGCAGTGGTTAATATGACAACTCCATAATGTAAGAATTCACCAAACAACACATTTAAGATTTGAGCTCTGACAGGTCTGTGGCTCATGCCTGTAATTCTAGCACTTTGGGAGGTCAAGGTGGGAGGATTGCTTAAGGCCAGTTCAAGACTGGCCTGAGCAAAAGCAAGACTCCATCTGTACAAAAAAATAGAAAAGTTAGCTAGGCATGGTAGTATACAGGGAGGCTGAGGCAGGAGGAGCTATGATGACACCACTAGCCCAGGGAACAGAGTAGGACTGTCTGACCAAAAAAAAAAAAAGAATTGAGGAGCACTCAACACACTTCAGCATAATTCACAGCAGCCTCAGACTCCTGCGCTAAAGTGATCCTCCTACCTCAGCCTCCCAAGTAGCTGGGACTACGGGCACATGCCACCATACCTGGCTACCCCTCAATTTCTAAAATTACTTAAAAGTAAAACAGCACTTTATATGGCACTGACCTCATGCCAGCCATTGTCCAACCCCCTTTCCCAAGATGAAGTCAGTTCTCAAAACCACCTTCAAGGTCATTGCTCTTATTATCCCCGTTTTGCAAATGAGGAAAACTGAGACTCAGAGAGGGAAGGTCACTTGTCTAAAGTCACAGTTTGTCTGAGACTAGGTTGGGATCTGAACTTGATATTGTCCCGGATTCCTGACCCTTAGCTGCTTTGCTAGGCTGCCTCTCAGGGTAAGGGAGAATGACCATTTTCAAACCTCATTTTCCTGGGTTGTTAAATGAGGAGAATAGATGAAATAGTGGAGAAGAAGCAGTGGGCCCAAAGTCCACCAGGGAAGTCTTCAGTGTTGCCGGATGGTGATGTTTGCCTTGGGGTGCCGGTGGGGTGAGAGGGCTCCTGGAAAGGCTTCTTTGAATCAGCCCAGATATGAAGGCTCTGCAGTTGGCAAAGAAAGAGAGCCAGCTGGGGGCCAAGGCGACAGCTGAGCCCCCCAAGGGCGCCTGCTACCCAAGCCCCAGAGGCCTCGATCCTGAGCCCAGCCTCCCTAGAGAAGGGGCCGGAGGAGCCGCCAAATCCTGAGCTATAAATACCTTTGTTGGCGTCGTCCCTGGCCATGGAATGTTGGTCAGAACTGGGGCAAGTGGGGGTGGGCTGGCCTGGGCTCCTCTCTCAGTCCCCATGGGAGTGGCCCAACTCTCCGTGCACCCTGTTTCCCCATTTTAGATGGGGCAGAGGCTGGACCCCACCTCTTTGTAGTCAGGGGGGCCCAGGACATCCAGGGACATTGGGAAAAGTTTGGGTTGAGGCAGCCATACCCCACTTTCCACAGATGGACATCTCCCCAGAAATGACCTGAGCCCACCCTGGCAAGAATTGGGTTTCCATCTAACTCTCCCTTTTCTTCCTTTCAGTGAAAGAATTCTTAGCCAAAGCCAAAGAAGATTTTCTTAAGAAATGGGAAAATCCCGCTCAGGTAAGCCCACTTAGCACAGAGCCCTGGGAGGGGTAAGCTGGCGGCTCCCAGTCCCCTGACTGCATCCCTGCAACTCAGCTAGAATTTTAAAGCTCTATGGGCCCAGACTTACCCAGTCACTCCCTAGATACCCATGGGGGCTCCTGGGCAGAGATACCTGTTACCCTCTGCCAGTCGTACCACCCCATGGCCCCTTCCAACTGGCTGCCCCTGCCCCCTGCACAGCTGCCAGCAACTCCTGGGCCCCAGGCCAGGGCTGGATCTAGCCCCTGCCACCCGCCTTGAGGAATGCACCCTCTGCCATCTTGTCCTCAGCCTGCTCACCCCATGTGCTCCCTGAGGCCCCCTCTGCCGGTGGCAGAGGAGATACCCAGACCTGGACCCAGCAGACCACAAGGAAGGGCATTCCTGACTCTCTAAACCCCTCTACCCACAGAATACAGCCCATTTGGATCACTTTGAACGAATCAAGACCCTCGGCACAGGCTCCTTTGGCCGGGTGATGCTGGTGAGACACAAGGAGACGGGGAACCACTATGCCATGAAGATCCTTGACAAACAGAAGGTAAGCCTTACCTTGTCACATGGCTCCTGTCCTGTCTACCAGGCCCATGCCCAGTCTATGCCCACCACCTGGAGTGTTGTTCCTGCCCATTCACTTGCCCCCTTGATAATTATCCTTGATTCCACCCCAGTGTGCCAGACCCAGGGATGAGAAGGCCTCTGTGCTGCCTTCTCAAAGCGTCCACTCCTGGCACCAGTGCAAAGCCACACACTATGACACAGGGTCAGACACCAGCTCGTATAAAGAAGGCCAGAAGTCCTTCTGGGGGAATTGGTGTTTTCAAGGACATTCTTTCCATAAATTTTTTTTTTTTTCTGTTTTTTGAGACAGAGCCTCAAGCTGTCCCCCTGGGTAGAGTGCCGTGGCATTACAGCTCACAGCAACCTCCAACTCCTGGGCTCAAGCGAGTCTCCTGCCTCCGCCTCCCAAGTAGCTGGGACCACAGGCGCCCGCCACAATGCCCGGCTGTTTTTTGGTTGCAGCCGTCATTGTTGTTTTGGCGGGTCCGGGCTGGGGATTCGAACCCGCCACCTTAGGTGTACGTGGCTGGTGCCCTAGCTGGTTGAGCTATAGGTGCCGAGCCCATAAATATTTTTAAGACCCTACTTGGTATAAGGCACTGCTGCAAAGCAGCACCATCCAACAAAAATGTGAGCCAAGCCACAGAAATGATTTTAAATTTTCTGGTTTCTTCATCAAAAAAGGAAAAAGAGGCCAGGCATGGTGATGTGCACCTGTAGTCTCAGCTACTCAGGAGGCTGAGGCCGGGAGGACTGCTTGAGCCCAGGAGTTCAAAACTATAGTGAGCTGTGATTACAGATTGCACCAGTGCACTCTAGCTGAGGCAACAGAATGAAACTCTGTCTCTCAAAAAAAAAAAAAAAAAAGGAAAATGAAGCCTGACACAGTGGCACATATATGTGGTCCCATCTGCTTGGGAGGCTGAGATGAGAGGATTGCTTGAGCCCAGGAGTTTTAATCCAGCCTGGACAACATAGCAAGATCTTGTCTCTTAAAAAAAAATCTCATTCTGTTGCCCTAGGTAGAGTGTCATGTGTTGTCATAGCTCACAGTAACCTAAGTCTCTTGGGCTTAAAGAGATCTTCTTTCCTCAGCTTCCCAAGTAGCTGGGACTACAGGCACCTGCCACAATACCTGCTAGTTTTTTTCCTATTTTTATCTTTATTTATTTATTTATTTACTTGAGACAGAGTCTCACTCTGTCACCCTTAGTGGAGTACTATGGCATCATAGCTTACAGCAACCTCAAACTCTTGGGCTTGAGCAATCCTCTTCCCTCAGCCTTCAGTAACTGGGACTACAGGCATGCACCACCACACCTGCTGGTTTTTTCTGTTTTTAGTAGAGATGGAATCTCGCTCTTGCTCAGGCTGGTCTTGAACTCCTGAGCTCAAGCAATGCACCCACCTTGGCCTCCCAGATTACTAGGATTACAGATGTGAGCCACCATGCCCAGTCTAACAAACTTTTTTTTTTTTTTGAGATGGAGCCTCAAGCTGTCCCCCTGGGTAGAGTGCCATGGCATCACACTCACAGCAACCTCCAACTCCTGGGCTCAAGCGAGTCTCCTGCCTCAGCCTTCCAAGTAGCTGGGACTACAGGCGCCCACCACGACGCCCGGCCATTTTTTGGTTGCAGCCATCATTGTTGTTTGGCGGGCCCGGGCTGGGGATTCGAACCCGCCACCTTAGGTGTATGTGGCTGGCGCCTTAGCCGCTTGAGCCACAGGCGCCGAGCCAACAAACTTCTTTTTAATTAAAAAAAGTAAATAGGCTGGGTGCAGTGCCTTGCACCTGGAATCCCAGCAGTTCAGGAGGCCAAGATTTTTCTTTTTTTTCTTTTTTATTAAATCATCGCTGTGTACATTAATGCAGTCATGGAGTACAATGTACTGGTTACAAAAAATTGAAAAAAAAAATTCGGTGGCCAAGCACGGTGGCTCACACCTGTAATCCTAGCACTCTGGGAGGCCAAAGTGGGTGGATTGCCTAAGCTCACTATTTCGAGACCAGCCTGAGCCAGAGCAAGACCTTGTCTCTAAAAAAATAGCCAGGCACTGTGGCAGGTGCCTATAGACCCAGCAACTTGGGAGGCTGAGGCAAGAGGCTCGCTTAAGCCCAAGAGTTTGAGGTTGCTGTGAGCTATGATGCCATGGCACTATACCAAAGGAAGACAAAAAAAAAAATTTTTTTTTAAGTAAAAAGAAACAGGTGAAATTCATTTTAACAATGTGTTTTAATTAAGCCAGTATGTCTACAGTATTACCATTTCCACATTATCAGTGTGAAAATATCATTAGTGAAACATTTTCTGTTCCTTTTTTTCCTGTACTAAAAGGTCTTTGAAATTCAGTATCTATTCTTTAGTACTTATAACAGATATTCATTCAGATAGGAAATTTCTCTAGAAAGTTAAAAAAAAGTAGAAAAGATGGAAAAGCAAACTTGCATGCTGGAGTTGTTCCAACCATGCTTAAAAATACCCAGGACCTACATCAAGTATCAGTTTCTACGTTTTCACTTTAGATACCTAAACATTTTTAAGAGATAGGGTCTTGCTTTGTTGGCCAGGATGGAATGCAGTGATACAATCAAAACTTTAAATTCAGTTCCCCAGCTATCTGACCATGCTTCAAGGGTTTAGCAGCCACCTGTGGCTAGTGGACAGTGCAGGTGTCCTGAGAACACAGCTGTGAAAGTAAAGTAGTTCACAGCCATCCAAGGAGCTGACTGTGTGTGACAAGCTGGCCTGAGAAGCTTGGTCCGGTCACTTCCCCTCTCTGTGGCTAGGTTTCCAAATTACCGTGCTCCCAGTGTATGTATCCCTCTCAGGGCTCTATCACCATTCAGTGGGAGACTATGTGCAGGGTGCCTGCTCATGTGGGGACAGCTGATAGCTGAGGAGGAATTATTAGCCTGCGGTTCCGGGTTTGTGTGTGGAGTGTTCTAGACAAGAGGAAAGGAATTTCAAGACCCCCACCCTTTCAGCTACTCATGCCTATCTTTTCAGTCTCAGCCCAGCTGCCCCTTGCTCTGGGAAGCCTTCTCTGATTCCTCTTTTCCCCAGACTGCATGAAGTGCTTTATCTGGGCATCTGCAAGCCTAAGCTCCCCACCATGGTTCCAGTCCCTTCGGGCTGCAAGGCCCAGTAATTCATGTACTCTTTACCCTGGACTCTGTGCCATTCGAGGACAAATTGACTGGCCTCCTCACTGTGGCCTGAGCATTCAGTCAATGGCCCAACAGGCCACAGGCACATAACTGATTCTAGCTGAAGGAACCTCCCCATTCTGCACCACCAGTTTCAGGGGGCCCCTCTAACCCTGCTCTCCTCTCTGCCTTTTCCTTCTGCCCCGGTAGGTGGTGAAGCTGAAACAAATAGAGCACACCCTGAATGAAAAGCGCATCCTGCAAGCAGTCAACTTTCCGTTCCTCGTGAGACTTGAGTTCTCCTTCAAGGTGGGGTCCCAGCAGCCAGGGCTCGGGATGACTACATTGGGTCCCAACCATCAGATGCAACCTTTTGGTTCCCAGGGCTGGGGTTGGGAGCAAAGACAACCAGTGGCTGTCCACTTCTCAGGAAGAAAGAGATCCCTGTAGGGGCACAGGAGTCAGGCAGAGGTTCTGGTAGACCCAAGCTCAGCTCCTGGGCCCACCAATTTCTAGCTTGATAACTTTGGGTGAGTCTCCCAACCTCAATAACACCCCTCAAAATCACCATACCATTTACAGCAAGACTCTGACCTATAGCCAAGAGCTTATGTTCAGTTCCCATCTCTATACTTCCTAGATGTGGAACCCTGGGCAAGGGACTTCATCTCCTGAGCCTTGGTTTTCTCATCTGTTAAGTGAGAATCATAACAACTCCTGGTGGAGTTATCATGATAGTTCTGAGCACATTGTAAGCACCTTTTGGGAGCTGTTCTGGGTGCCATCCAAAGCTATGGTTGTGAGAGCCTGCAGTGGCCACTCATGGCCAGCTTCCCAGGTGTTCAGCCCAGGCAGGCACACAACTTGTGCACAGAGGGACCCCACAGCTGATTTAATGCTGCTGTCTTAAAATTCGTAGTAATGACTCAGCACCTATGGCTCAAGTGGCTAAGGCGCCAGCCACATACACCTGAGCCAGCGGTTTTGAATCCAGCCTGGGCCTGCCAAACAACTGTGAAGGCTGCAACCAAAAAATAGCCAGGCATTGTGGTGAGCGCCTGTAGTCCCAGCTACTTGGGAGGCTGAGGCAGGAGAATCACTTGAGCCCAGGAGTTGGAGGTTGCTGTGAGCTGTGATGCCATGGCACTCTACCCAGGGTGACAGCTTGAGGCTCTGTCTCAAAAAAAAAAAAAAAATCCATAGTAATTTTTTAACAAGGAGCTACACATTTTTATTTGAGGCTCCACCAAGTTCTGTAGCCCATCCTAGGCGCATTTTAAAGGTGACAAAACTATGTCCCCAAAAGCCTTAGTCAGGGTCCCAGACACAAGCTGCTAGAGTCCTCTCTCTCTATCTCCAGCCAGGACACACTGGCCAGGTCCCTACATACCTCAGTGCTGGCCCTCACTTTTATCCCCTGTAACACAGCAGGGTCAGAGCTGCCTTTCTTCCTCATGTGCAGAATGAGATGTAAAGTGTGGTTCAGTCAGCACGGTACCTGGCCCTTGGAATGTGCTTTGGATGGAGAGCCAGGATTATTGTTGTCATTTAATGTCTGAACACATGTCAGGTAAGGATACCTCGGCCCTCAGATGGGGCCCAGGGCACGGAGAGTGGGGCCCTGACCAGCTGCTGGTTCCCACAGGACAATTCAAACTTATACATGGTCATGGAATATGTTCCCGGTGGGGAGATGTTCTCACACCTACGGCGGATTGGAAGGTTTAGGTAAGTGGGCCACCCCAAGTGACACCAGGTTCTTGGGGGTGGGGGGGTATCCACCTACAGGCAGTATCCCACAACCACACCATCTGGGGACACAGAGGAGTCCAGCATGTTTGAACATTCAAGTGATCTCTCAAGGTCCCTGTGGGGTTGTTTCTGCTGTGCTGAGGAATATGCAATGTTTCAGCTGCCACAACACAAAACAGACCAAACATGGTGATTTAGGTGACAGTATTTAAGTTGGCAAATTTATGATTTTCTTTTTATTTATTTATTTAGAGCTAGGCTCAGTGGTGCAAGCTTATAGTCCCGGCTCCTCAGAAGGCTGAGGTGGTTCTCACAGTCCTGGAGGCCAGGGGTGGAAAAAGGGAGGGAAAATGGCATCTAAGGCAGGAGGATCACTTGAGACCAGAAGTTCAAGACCAACCTGGGCCACACAGCAAGACCCATCTCTTAAATTAATAAATCAATTTTACACTATTACTTTTTTTTTTTTTTTTTTTTTTTTTTTTGCAGTTTTTGGCCGGGGCTGGGTTTGAACCCACCACCTCCGGCATATGGGATCAGCACCCTACTCCTTTGAGCCACAGGGCCCACACTATTACTTTATTTTATATACATAGTTTTATTTTATACGTATAGATTTTATATATAAAATAACACTATATATGTAATGTTACATAGAGATAGTTTTATTTTAGATAGATACACACTTTAAATACAGTAATATACACAGATATTCAATATTCCACTCCACGAGTTTTAACAATTATACTCCCCTAGACCCCACCCAAAACACCATGTAGAATATTTCCATCACCCCAGAAAATTCTCTCAAATCCCTTTCTTGGTACATCATCTCCCCAACAAAGGCAGTTGTCTGTTCTGCCTTTAAACACCATGAATTTATTTTGTCTAGGTTTGGACTTGACATAAACAGAATCATACAGTTGTTATTCTTTTGTGTCTTTCTTCTTTTGCTTGACATATCAGTTAGAAATCCAGCCACCTTGTTGAGAAGATTTATAGATTGTTCTGGTGGTGAATGATGTTTCATTGTTTGAATATATCACAATCTGTGATTCCATTCTCCTGGTGATGAACATTTAGGCTGTTTCCAGTGTTGGACTATCTATGAATATCTCTGCTTATGCATTTCTTTTTTCCTTCCTTTCTCTCTTCTCTTTTTTTCTCCTTTCATTTTCTTTTTTTTCTTTTCTTTCAAGACAGAGTCTCACCCTGGGTGGAGTCCTGTGGTGTCCCAGCTCACCACAATGTCAAACTCCTGGCTTAAGGGATCCTCTTGCCTCAGCTACCCAAGCTAAGATTGTAGGTGTCTGACACCATCCCAGCTGGGTTTTCTATTTTCAGTAGAGATGGGGTCTCCCTCTTACTTAGGCTGGTCTGGAACTCCTGAGCACAAGCAATCTATCTGCATCGGCCTCCCAGGGTACTAGGATTATGGACATGAACTACCACACCTGGCCTCTTCCTCCCTCATTCCCTTGCTTCCTTACGTTCCTTCCCTGCCCCCTACCTCCCCTCCTTCTTTCCCTCCCTCCCTCCCGCCTTCCTTCCTTTCTTCCTTCCTTCCTTCTTTCTTCTCTCTTTCATTCATTCTTTCTCTCTTTCTTTCTTTCTTGAGGTCAGAGATGAGGTCTCACTCTGTCACCTAGGGTGCAGTGCAATGACACCATCATAGCTCACTGCAGCCTCAAACTTCTGGACTCAAGCCATCCTCCCACCTCAGCCTCCTGAGTAGGTGGGATGACAGGTGTGTGTCACCACACTACGCTAATTTTTCCATTTTTTGTAGAGATACATGTCTCACTATGTTCCTTAAACTGGTCTCAAACTCCAGGCTTCAAATCATCCTTCTGCCTCAGCCTCCCAAGTAGCTAGGACTGTAGGCACATGCCACCACACTAGCTAATTTTTTTATTTTTTGTAGACACAAAGTCTTGCTATGTTGCCCAGGCTGGTCTCAAACTCCTGGCCTCAAGCGATAACTCCTGCCTCAGCCTCCCAAGTAGCTGGGATTACGGCCGTGAGCCCCTGCGCCCGGTTGCTTCTGCATTTCTGATAGCTGGACTAGGGGTATCTTCCTCTGGGAATGGCTCTGCAGGCCCATCTGCTGGACCATTTGGGGGTGTGGCCACCGGCACTCACCTCCCCGCTTGTCCCCGCCAGCGAGCCTCATGCCCGTTTCTACGCGGCCCAGATTGTCCTGACCTTCGAATACCTACACTCGCTTGATCTCATCTACCGGGACCTGAAGCCAGAGAACCTCCTCATCGACCAGCAGGGCTATATTCAGGTGCCCACCGGGCTGGGCGAGGGGCAGTCCCAGGTGGCCACAGCTTGAACCCTCCCTCCTAGCCAACTGCCCATTCTTGTGCCTGCAGGTGACAGACTTCGGTTTCGCCAAGCGTGTGAAGGGCCGCACCTGGACCTTGTGTGGGACCCCTGAGTACCTGGCCCCTGAGATTATCCTGAGCAAAGTAGGCGCTTCCTCAACCCATTCCCTCTCCTGAGGCAGGCTGTGCCCTTGGCCCCTCCTCACCCAATATCCCCTCAACCCCATCTCGCTCTAGGGTTACAATAAGGCTGTGGACTGGTGGGCCCTGGGGGTTCTCATCTATGAGATGGCTGCTGGCTACCCGCCCTTCTTCGCTGACCAACCCATCCAGATCTATGAGAAGATCGTCTCTGGGAAGGTGAGGCCCAGATACGGGTGAGGCCCACAACTCTGGGACAAGTAGACCTTTCCCCACTGGCCCATCCCACGCCCTGTGGATCCCTGCTTATTGGAATTATCTAGAAGTTCATTAAGTCAGTCCAGACTTCAGTGAAGCCAGACCCAGTGGCCACACTGAAGCCAATACCTCAAGCCACCTCAATGTCTGGCTCCTAACCCATGGTGCCGGGATCCGAAGGGCATCTCAAACTCCAAACCTCATCAGAACTCCTTGGCTATAGAACATGCTGCCCTGATACAAGGCCCTTCTCACCTATCTTTGTCCCACTGGGAGTACATTTTCACAAGTTTCAAGTCAGAAAAGTGATTGTATGTTGTTCCCAGGTGCTACCCCTATCTAGGAGTCCCTTCACTTAGGGTATACAGCTCACACCTCCTCTGCCTAAAGTACACTTTGGTAACTCTGAGGGTCTAGGTAAGCAGTGGCAGAGTTGTCTGACTTCACATCTACAAAGTGCATCAAGTGATCCCCATCTGCCAGGACCTGGGTTCAACCTCTTTGTCACACCCCAAGAGAGTGGCACTGCCATGGGAGAGGGGAGGAAACAGAGGCTCAGAAAGGGGATGTATCTGGTCCAGGACCACACCTTGGCAAGTAAGTGGAGGTGTCATTGTAGGTACTGAGGGCTGGAGAGGTATATGAGACCCCAACTCTGCCCTCAGCTCAGCTACCTGCCTCCACCTAACCCAGCATCCTGTCCTGTAGTTCTATGCAGGAGCTGCTGGTTGGCTCAGAGTCACCAGAACAGTCTTAAAGCTCAGCCTTATAGGCTCGGCACCCATAGCACAGTGGTTAGGGTGCCAGCCACTTACACCAAAGCTGGCAGGTTCAAACCCAGCCCAGGCCAGCTAAACAACAATGACAACTGCAGTAAAAAAATAGTTGGGGGCGGCACCTGTGGCTCAAAGGAGTAGGACACCAGCCCCATATACTAGAGGTAGTAGGTTCAAACTCGGCCCTGGCCAAAAAACTGCAAAAAAATAAATAAATAGTTGGGCATTGTGGCTGGCCCCTGTAGTCCTAGGCAACTTGGGAGGCTGAGGCAACAGAATCACTTAAGCCCAAGAGTTTGAGGTTGCTGTGAGCTGTGATGCTATGGCACTCTACCCAGGGCAACATAGTGAGACTCTCAAAAAAAAAAAAAAAAAGCTCGCCCTTACAGCCTGGTTCTCAGGCCCAGCTCTGCCACCTAATGGCAAGGAAACTTGCAGCAAGTGGCTTCATTCCTCTGAGCCCTCTTTTACCCACCTGGGAACTGCAGAACTAACCATGTGCCTCTCAGGGAGGTTAGAAGTCACCAACTGCTAAGTGGGGGTGTTCTGGCTAGACACATAGTCAGCATCGCTACAAGAGAAAGATGAAGCATCTGCCACTAGGTAGATTAGAAATTCCGAAGAAAACGGCCAGAGTGGGGAATAAAAAAGCCATAGAAGTTTCTGCGCAGGAAGAGAGGAAAAGTGTAACTCCCTTCTTTGTAGCATTTTCCAGTTCCTACACACCCTCAGCAGTATTATCTCCCTTGAGCAACTCTGGGATATCTGCCCCATGTCCTAGAGACATGCGCAGACCCAGAGAGGTTAAGGGCCGTGGCCAAGGTCACACAGCTTGTAAGAGTCAGAACAGGAACTAGAAGTCATTTCTTGCATACTTGCATACAAGGCCATGGATTCAGAGCTTGCATACAAGGCCATGGGCTCAGAACTTTGGGGGAAACTTTCCAGAAGAGTTGAGCTGGGCCCTAAAGAATGGAAGAGCCTTAGCTATGTAGAGAGGGGAGAAAAACTTTCTCTCATAGGCATGAAGATTTCAGGAGTCTCAAGACCCCAGCAGAGCTACCTTAAGTAGCAGCAGCTAAGGATGCAATTTACAGAGTCCAATGGACTTGAGATGGAATTGCCTATCCACTCCTTTGTGTAACCTTGGGGGAGCTGTTTAACCCTTCTGAGCTTCAGTTTCCTCTTCTCTGAAATGGGAACCATAGCACTTCCTTTATAACAGTGGTTCTCAAAGTGGTTCCCTCTCCCAGCAGCAGCATTGCCAGGGCATGTATTAGAAATACAGATTTCCAGGCAGCACCTGTGGCTCAGTGGGTTGGGCCCCGGCCCCATATACGGAGGGTGGCGGAGGGTGGCAGGTCCAAACCCCGCCCAGCCGAACTGCAACAAAAAAATAGCCAGGTGTTGTGGTAGGTGCTTGTGGTCCCAGCTACTCGGAAGGCTGTGGCAAAAGAATTGCCTAAGCCTAGGAGTTGGAGGTTGCTGTGAGCTGTGTGACGCCACAGCACTCTACTGAGGGCAATAAAGTAAGACTGTCTCTACAAAAAAATTAAAAAGAAATGCAGATTTCCAGACCCCACTTAGTCTTTATAATCAGAAGCTCTAGGGTAGGCCCAACAACTGTTTGTATGGGATTTCAGCAGACTTAAAGTTTGGGGCCTTCTACCTGATAGGACTATTGGATTGGAGCAGCGTTCTGGAATCCCCAAGCTATGGACCAGCTCCCCATCCTGTCTGTGTACCCCCCTCCTCCAGGTGCGGTTCCCTTCCCACTTCAGTTCTGACTTGAAGGACCTACTGCGGAACCTCCTGCAGGTGGATCTCACCAAGCGCTTTGGGAACCTCAAGAATGGGGTCAATGATATCAAGAACCACAAGTGGTTTGCCACGACTGACTGGATCGCCATCTACCAGAGGAAGGTGGGCCTCCCCTCCTCAAGTATGCTGAGGGTTTGTGGGGAGGCCAGGAGTCAGAGAGGGGTGCCAGTAAAGAGATGGAAAGAGAAGAGGCCACAGGATCAAGTTCAACATACCATAGAATAGGCTGCTTAGAGCCAGTGGATTCTAGAAATAGGATTCTGGCATTATTTGGTCACTGTGACCTTGGGCAAGAGATGCCGCTCTCTGGGAAGTAATTTCTCTTTTGGTTAGTTGGCTAATGATAACAGTCTTGGATTGTTAGGGCCAGATGCGGTGGCTCACACCTGTAATCCTAGCACTCTGGGAAGCTGAGGCAGGTGGATAGCCTCAATAGTTTGAGACTAAACAAGAGTGAGATCCTGTCTCTTAAAATAGCCAGGCGTTCTGGCGGACACTTGTAGCCCCAGCTACTCAGGAGGCTGAGACAAGAGGATCAGTTGAGTCCAACAGTTTGAGGTTGCTGTGAGCTATGATGCCCTAGCACTCAACCCCTGAGTGAGACTCTGTCTCCAAATAAAAAAAGTCTTTGGTTGTTAAGAGTCATATCCTAATGCTAAACACAGATCTGGGTCATAGTAAATACCTCTTAAATGGTAGGCCATTTGTGTTTATGGTTGCAATAATGATTATGTTGAGTGCTGAGGTCTGGGTGATTCTTGATCCCTCTCCAGGTGGAAGCTCCCTTCATACCAAAGTTTAAAGGCCCTGGTGATACGAGTAACTTTGATGACTATGAGGAGGAAGAGATCCGGGTCTCCATCAATGAGAAGTGTGGCAAGGAGTTTTCTGAGTTTTAGGGGTGTGCCTGTGCCCCCATGGGTTTTTTTTCTTTTTTTTTTTTTCTTTTTTTGTGGGGGGGTGGGAGGGTTGGATTGAACAGCCAGAGGGCCCCAGAGTTCCTTGCATCTTATTTCACCCCCACCCCACCCTCCAGGGTAAGGGGAGCAGAAAGCCCAGATATTTGGAGGGACAGAAAACACCAGCTGCTCCCCTTCTCTCCTTCACCCTCCTAAACATTCTACCACTTTTCCCTTCCTCCTCCCCTGTGACCCCATCCCACCCTCAGTTCACTTCTGCCTGTTTTAATGAGTTTCTTAGCTCCAGTCAGACCAGGTTTTGCTGGTGTATCCAGGGACAGGCTGTGGAAAGAGGGGCCCAAACATAACCTATAGCCCCCCACACACACACCCCACCACATCACAGGCACCACTCTCTAAGAGCAAATGAAGGAAAAGCCAACAACCTTCCCTTCAGAGCCATCCTGCCTGGGAAGGAGAGATTTTAGTGACATGTTCAGTGAGCTGCTTGCTAGAATTTTTTTTAAAAAAACAATTTAAAATCTTATTTAAGTTCCACCAGTGCCTCCCTCCCTTTTTCCTCTACCCTCATCCCTCCCACTTACCCACCCCCAATCCACAAGTCCATTTTAACAAGGCTGAGAAGCAGATTGACTTTGTCAAGGGAAGTGCTGGGGTTCAACCTCTGCCCTGAGCTGCTAATCCCCCCTGCCCCCTTTTGGGGTGGTAGGGGGGCCTCTGCCAATCCTGCAAGGATCTCAGCCCCTTTAGGAACCCTACTCTCTTCCACAACAGACCTTTTCTTCACTCTTGGGCTTGGGAGCCAGACAAAGCACCTGCCCCTCTCCCTGCCAAAGAGGAGCCACCCCCCCAAAAGAGGGGGAGCCCCATACCCAGAGTCTTTCCTCCCAGCAGCACTTCCCCCAAACTCTTTAATAAATTTTCTCAGCTAGATCTTAATGCCCAGCCTCCTCTCAAGTTGGAAGGGCACCCCTGCAAAAGGACATGGAAGATGCAAAGTCTCCCTCCCCCAACCCCCTCCCTGTGGCCCAGGGTTCAAGGCCAGGGTTGTTGGAGACGGACTGCCTGTTTTATTCACCCAGCTGCTTCCGTCCCCCATCATGGGCCCCCCAATCCTGGGTGCCCTTCCTCTAGTTTAGCTGTCAGCTGTCCATCACCTCTTCTTCCACCCGTCTTTGATTTGTGCTTTTTTCTCTTAATAGAAAAGTGGGGAGCCACCCCATTCATCCTCCTATTTGTCCCTCTCATAACTTCTCCCCATCCCAGGAGGAGCTCTCAGGCCTGGGGTGGGGCTCCGGGTGGTCGCGGGGGTGATTCAACCTGTGTGCTGCGAAGGACAAGACTTCCTCTTGAACAGTGTGCTGTTGTAAACATATTTGAAAACTATTACCAATAAAGTTTTGTTTAAAAAAAAAGTGTTGCTGGTGTTTTCGACTTCGGTCACCCACCCACACACCCCCAGAGGGTTGGAAAGGGAATTTTGGACCCCAGCGTCCAGGTTGATCAGGCCCTGGCCTGGAGTCGTAGTAAAACCGCGTTTAGCCGGAATTCCGCCACTCCTCCCGCCACGCAAGAGAAGGGGGCGCAAAATGCCCTTTGACCCCCCAGATTCGGGTCCCCAAATAGGCAGAGCGACCTCTCTGCATCCAGCCCAAAGCCGAGAGGGCGCTCTAGGGAGGCGGTGAGGTCGTCGCGCCCGAAGGCCGAACGGCGGCGGGGGCGGACAGGCAGGGGGAGTAGAGGGGGGGAAAGACTGTGCGCGACCCCCTCCCTGCATCCAAAGCGCGGGGCCAGGCGCGCCAGAGGAGTGGAGAAACGACCACAGCCCGAAGGTCCCCGCAGCGCTCTGAGAGCGCGCCGGACCCGGCCCGCAGGCGGCGAGTTCCCGGTAAGTGCGGTCCCGAGAGCGCAGCGCGCCCGAGAGGCGTGGAGAGGGGGGCTGGGCGCCGGGGACGTCTGGGTCCCGCGCCCAATGGCTGGAGGGCGGCCGAGCGCCGCCCGTCCGCCCAGCCCGCCCCCTCTCCCCTCCCCCCGGCACTCCCCTCCCCCTCCCCCGCCTGTCGCTTTCCCCCGCCCCCGCCCCGGCGCCAACTCCGCGGCGCCTCCTTAAAAAGCGCGCGGGAGTTGTAAGGGGGGGGGCCGGAGTGAGCCGGAGTGAGCGAGAGCGCAGGGTAAGAGGGGCGGGCGGGGGGCCCGGGCTCCACCTTAA